TCACATGTGTATGTGTATATCTGAGTATATATGTGTCATATGTGTATATCTGAGTGTATATGTGTTATGTGTGTATGTGTATATCTGAATGTATATGTGTATATATGCATATAGTTTTATGGCATATATGCATATGTATATACAAATATAAATATTTTTATATTTATATATATTTCTATCTTTACTATCTGGAGACAATGTGGCACAGTAGGAAGGAACTGGAGCTTTGAAGTCATTTAGTTCCTGTTGCTCCTTAGAAGTGATGCTGGAGAATTTGTTTATGTGTGTGCACCTTAGTATCATCATATATGAAATGGTACAGTACTCCCTTCCTCGCGTGGTTTCATGAGGACTGGATGAAATGATGTACACTGGCATAGTGCCTGACACATGGCATCCCTTCGGTAGATGGTATCTATGATTTTGTCTCTTTCATGCAGACAAAATTTATTTATTGAGTACCTACAGTGTGCTGTTCCTTTCCTAGTCACTGATTACAAGGGGAAAGAAACCTCACTATGATCCCTCATCTCATGGAGCTTATAATTTTATTAACAGTGATATGAATAAGGATATAATTATAAACTCAGATGAGCGAACTTGACCTTGTCTGAGAGTTAGTGAAGGGAAGGTGGTGCTGGAGCTTGAGGGATAGAGTGTGAGGGTGTGATTATCATTCTAGGATACGAGGAAGAATAAACAACAGCAAAAATACATAATTGCTTGTTCCTGGATGGTAGGCTTCTTAAAGTCCAGGATTATAGATAATCATATATTCATTTATTTATATTCTTTGTATGCAGCACAGTGGCAAAGTTCATTATAGATATTCATAGATATTTGTGGACTAAGTAAATAATCCCCTCATTCTCCTTGTCAAAAAAAAGTATAAAATATCTAGTTCTAGAAGATAAGGGATAAAAATAACCTGAATACATATCAAAGCTCAATAATTGATAGCCTTATTATTATTATTATTGTCTGAAAGTTTGCATATGTCTGCTGCTACATTGTAAGCTCTGAGTGGTAAGAAATGTATCTTACTTATCTTTGAGCCTCTTTTTTTTTTTTTTTGGCCAGAGCTGGATTTGAACCTGCCACCTCCGGCATATGGGGCCAGCGCCCTACTCCTTTGAGCCACAGGCACTGCCCTCTTATTTATCTTTGAACATCCCAAAGTTCTTAGAACAACAACTTGCATAGAATAAATCATCTGTAGAAATTCAGAGAATAAAAAAAAAGAAAAGAAAAATTCAGAGAATAAATAATATTCTTAATTAGGAATTAAATTGACAGATTATGGAAACTGTTTGCATTGAGAAAATAAAATATTAAAGCTAGTTTAAGTCCTCTCTGCAGGGAACACGTAATGTTAAGTTTCTAGAATAGAGATAAGATATATGCATGAAAAACCTCCAAAAACTAATGTAAAAACAAGCCAGAATTCTCTGCAGGGGTGGCAGGGGAGAACACTGTAAAATAATTCATAGAAAACATCATGTATATAATTCAAAGCGCACAGCTTTAATGCCACCCTCTCCGAGACCACTCAATCTAAAGTAATCAGTCTCGAGAACACTTGTCTGCTTTAACTCTTTGCATATCACTTACAGCCATCTGATACTTTTCCTTTTCCATTGATTGATTGAATTGATTGATTTTTTGAATTGCTCGTCGTTCCCACTAGAATGAGTCGTGATCTTGCCTGACTTCTTCCCTTTCTCGAGTCTCAGTACCCAGCACTGTATCTTGCACATGCCTGCTGAATTAAGGAGCACATAAACAAAACCAATACTATGTATGACTCGTGCAAGTTTAAGTAAGTTTGCAAAAAAATAAAAGGGAGTTGAAAGTATAAACAGGAATTTCCAGGGAGTGAGATGTTAAATGGGCAGAGGCTTGGGGAATGGTACTCAGCATGGTGCTTAGAAGGAGCTTTAATTACATTTATTTGAAATTATTTCTTTTAAATAGACTAAAAGGAAAAGGTGACAAAATATTAACTATTGATATTTATTCTGATGATGAGAATTTGAGTACTACACTATTCTTTGGGGGGAGTTCTCAGAACAAATTAAAACAAAAACAGAAAGTCTAAATAGAGAAGAGTAAATTAACCCCTTGTAGTTTTACAGGGTCTAAAGGTCTCTGAAGTGCTGCTACTTGATCATCACATAATTTCGAGATAATTACCCTCAGCCTTAGTTTTTACGGGGGTGGGGGTGGAATAAGACCAAGATTTATGAATGAAATGGCCATAAGGACCAATCGGGGCAACATTTGGCTGAAAGTGTGACCTAGGTAGGGATGATTTCTCTCTCAAGAGAAAGATATGGTTCAGATATGAGAACTAGATAAGAGGTTAAAAGAAATTAGCTTGGAGGCCTCTGGGCAAGAGAGTTGGACAAGTTCAATCTAAAGTAATGGAGAACAAAGGAAAAGCAAGCATCCTATGTAATCAGTACTAATTTGAAACTAGCTGATGAACAACTACTGGCCCACACAAAGAGAAAAACACAAATTTGGGAGGTGAGAGAAAGGGGTTCAGTGGGAGAAAGGTACAATGTAAGGGTCTAGGGAGAAAGGTACAATGTAGGGGTATAGGGCACATCTGTAGGTGGGAGAAAGGGGTTCAGTGGGAGAAAGGTAGAATGTAGGGGCACAGGGCACATCTCCTGGATAAAAGACTCAACTACAAACAGGACTATACCTTGTAAACACAGACAATGTAGCCTAATCGTATGTACCCTTATGTCCAAACTAAATTTTAAAAAAGAATAAACAAGCCATGCAAATGATGATCTACAAAACATAAAATAAAATAAAATAGGGATGGAGAACAAATGAACAAATTATTTTAATCCAAACAACATGTGCTCAGATGATCTTAGGTAAGTTGCTTAAGCTTTTTAAGGCTTACTTTTCTTACCATAAAACAGGGTGATTACCTACCTTACATAGTTTTTGTAAGAATGAAGTTGAATACCTTTGTTAAAGACACAGCCCAGTAATTAATAGATGTTCAAGAACCAGGTGCCGCACACCTATACTCCCAGGAACTCAGGAGGCCAAGGTGAGAGCATCTCTTGAGCCCAGAAGTTTAAGACCAGCTTGAGCAGTATAGTTGAGACCACTCATGGTGGCATACGCCTGTAGTCACAACCGCTAGGGAGGCTGAAGCAGGAGGCTCTTGAGTCCAGGAGTTGGAAGTTAACGTGAGCTCTGATTGAGGTGCCTCCCTCTACCCTGAGTGAAAGAGCAAGACCCCAACCCCTTGTTAAGAAAAAAAAAAAATAGACATTCACTATGTGTGTATTTTCTGTTGGTTTCTTATGCTCCCTCATATTAGCTTGAGTCATTCCAAACTTCGTTTTTTGAAAGTCAAAAATGATTGAATATGGGCAATTTTGTGAGATTCATGCACTTACCCTATGAATGTAAACTCTGATGTGACTACCAGATTCAATCCTATCTTGAATTTATATGTGAGGGAAGGAGGGACCCAAGTTTGAATAAAGCTTAATTGTTGGTAGCTTGGGTTTGAGCACCTATTTGCAAGAATCAATAAAAGGGATTTACAAGTATGGAGGGAGGAGGACGAGGAGAGTCCAACTGGCAGAGACAGGTTTACATAATCAGGGTTAGGCAATTGCAAACAGGACAGCTGCTCAATAGCTTTTGGCACCAAAATATACTGACCAGCTGGGGTATCATTAATGCTTAACAGTTTTATCCTTACGACCATATCTTGGCCAATTAGGTTCTCTTTGACCGCCAAAGGGTGTAATATATTCTGCTGCAAATGCCACATGTGTATCTGTGTAGCTCATATTCGCATTAATATGTTGCATAATATACACTAAATATAAATGTATTTGCTTCTTTGGAATACCAGGTAAGATGGCGTGATCATAAAGGAATAGAATTAAATTATAAATTGATTTCTTTTAAAAAAGTAATGAGTCATTACTCTGGGAAACATTTGTGTGCACATGTGTGTGTGTACTGAAAGTAGAGGGATCCAAAGAATTAAAATAATTTTTTAAATGAATATGTAAAGAATTATTACAGAAAATGTAATCTGGGGAGAGAGCCAGGATACTTTGCACGGTATATGCATACTGATAAACACAGGCAAGGAGACAGGCAGTTGCTAAAAGAAAATCGTTGAAGGATGTAAACAGACAGCCTCTTATGGCATCAAAAGAAACCTTTGGGCCAGGGTCACAAGCCCATGAAGACATTTCAGAAATGCTTCTAGCTGAATTTTCTCCTGGCAGTGCCTCTAAATTATGAGACAGGCAAAACAAGGACAAAATAGAATATTTTTCACAATGCTTCATATACTAAAATTTAATTCATTAAAATATTCAGATTTTCAGTACTTGTAACTTTGATGTTTGCTGAATAAAATTTGAAACACAAAGTTTTATTCACTAGCAAAAAACAGTCATCCAAACTCAGAAACCTTACTAATTCAAAATGCATGTGAATAAGGATTTTCACCTGTAAATTGTTTCCATTTTATAATTTATTTTTTATTTAATTTGACATCTACTGAAATGTTTTGGTTATGTTCTTTTTTTTTTTTTTAGAGCCAGAGTCTCGCTTTGTTACTTTGTTGCCCTTGGTAAAGTGCTGTGGCATCACAGCTCACAGCAACCTCCAACTCTTGGGCTTAAGTGATTCTCCTGCCTCAGCCTCCTGAGTAGCTGGGACTACAGGCACTCACCACAACGCCCGGCTAAGTTATGTTCTTTAGCATCTCTGGATTGATTTTTAAACCTGGCACTGGTCAGATATTTTTCCTTCTTCAAAATATGCATACTTGTTTGGCTATCAGTAGTTGTTCTTCTTCCCTATGTCAACTAAAAGTAACATCAATGTTCCTTCTTCAAAGCCAGAGACTGGACTAAGAACCTTATATGGATTATCAAGAAATGGGAGGCGACCCAGCAAGTTATTTCTTCATTTTATGGAAAGACTTAATTATCCATCGAAGTCAAACAAAACACAGCGATGTGAAGGCAGCTACCAGTATAAAGAATCTTGTTTTAAAAGTACTCCAGCTTCTCCTTTCTTTTTTTTTTTTCTTTTTCACCGACTATCTGACAAGCTAATAAAGTACATTTTCATGGTCTAGTTTATCTCCTTTCTTTCTATAGGTATAAGGCTTGGAGAAAGTAGGACTTGGGATAGTAGTAGTAGAAGACTTTAGCAATCATCAAGGTCAAGACCCTCATTCATAAATGAAAACCTTTAGATGGAGAAAGTTTTTGCTACTTACTATTAGTGGCACAGCCAAAACTAGATCCCAAACGTGTACCTGTAACTAGACAAATACTGTTTCTTCTAAATCCTGTTACCTTAAAACTACTTTCTAAGCCACCTTCTCTTAAAATATGATGCACCCACTTAACATTTTCAGATTGAATAATTAGCACCTGTGCTGTTGTGGTTTTGCTTTTCAAAGGTAATAGTGGGATAGTTTGTTATGTTGAAACTCCTGGGATAAAGGAATCCTGGAAGCCAGCCTGGAGGAGGTGTTCATCTCCATGCTCCGTCTTCACCTTGCACTGGCATTCCTCCACCAGCATCACCACCTTGACCACAGGGGCAAGGCTAGTGCAGTTCAGAGGCAAGTGCATCGTAGTGAACTTGGTGGGTGAGCAATGGGAGCAGAAGATATGAGAGTGCTGCGCAGCTCCAGGAAAATGAACAGATCCACATTTCCCAAAGCAAAGATGATTCTGGACAACCACTTTTTCACAGTCTTCATGGGTAATAGTCTAAAAGGCAAACATATTTCCATTATGTTATCTTGAATCGTTTCTTTAACATAACATACTTAGACTAAAAATTCCAAAGCTTTCCAACTGGAAGACATTTTGCAATATCTAAGTGTCGGTATATATAAGGACACAGAACTATCTTAACTAAATTTTCTTTATTGAGTGAATTATTAAGTGAGCCTTGAAGAGATCCCTAAGCTAACATGAAAATATTTCATGCTACCCTATTCATGCCAAACATTAAGAAATTTTGTCTAATTGGATATGAGCAATTAGAAAAATTATACTGGGAATTTCCTTATATAAGTAATGCTCCTTACCTGTTTATTTTTCACAGTGCTTTGTGCATAGTAAGTTCTCAATACGTATTAGTTCAGCTGATGCATAGATCAGAATACCACGAGTTTAATGCTATCCTATTTTGCAAGGCCTTATAGTGCCTTCAAAGCTTTGAAGTTGCAATGCTTATGCCTGCAAATCATCATGTATTACATCACCTTTGCCTCTCTCATAACCCTATACACCTAGCTTTTTGCACCTTTCAAAATGTGTAAGGATTAGACACCTTGGTTTTAATTTAATCAGCAATAAAATTGAAAATAAAAAATTTCAAAGGAAATTTGATTGCCCAATTCTTAGCAGTACTATTCTAATTGCACGTGGGCAACAAAGCAGTCATTATTATTTGATAATTGACTTGTCATCACTCCATATCCTTGCCTTTTCAAGCAGAATACTTAACTGCCTCGCACAGTCAATTGCCTTATAATACTGCTTGCTTAATTGGGTAGCATTACTGGACTGTAAAATTTTATCCTACCCTGTGTTGTTTTTGGTTCATTATCTTCATGTTTAAGGACCTGATGCAAGTTCTCAATTTTAATTTAACATTTGAAATGAGAGGGTTGCCAGACTGAAGGAAGTAGATAATAGTATGCCCCATTGTCTTAATAGTGTAGAATTGATTACTGTAACTACAAGTCAGCCAACACGACACGAATCAGGTGAAAGGCATTCCTAAGGGGAGGAGAGGTGCTTTCCTATCAAGATTATTATTTGAAAGCTTATGAAAAGATAAGCTAAACCAAATTATTTTTTGCTATGGTAATACCAGATATGATATGATAGCTTTTGCCTGTGAGCTTCAACATACTTGGAGGTTGTGGGATAGCTTTTTAAAGTCAAATAGCTTTGACAAGCTATTAAAGAAGCCTTTAATAAAACTATGAAGTAGTTAGCTGTGAAATATAGACATTAAGACCATAATAAACGGATGTGAGGGTGTCTGGAGAGGAGTTCACCTTATCTACAGATGAATTGGAACTGCTCACCCACGCCCTAATAGTGTGTGCAAAGACAGCTACCGAGAAGTTCTCGTGATTGCTCTAAATTCCAGGTTTCCCAACTGAGAGGATCTTGCTTATCTCTTTTGATAGATCATCCCCAATACAAATATACACAAATAAAACAAAGTGTTGTGTCATGAATATGAATGATCGCTGATATGAACAGTGCCATGCCACACTCCAGAATGCTAAGAAACAATGGAAAGGTTAGAACAAAATACAACCTTTGCCAAATTCTACAACGAATGCTCAAGGACCAAATCTGGAGTTAGGCAACGCTCAGGCTCCTGACAGCCCTTCCCCCTGCCCTCCATCCACCCCAGCTGTCCACCCTCCTTGTGAGAACCCTTATCTGCTCGCACCCTGCAGAGCACATACCTGGCTGAAGGGCACAGTCCGACAGGTCTCCCAATGTATTTCATGGCTTTTAATGGGCAAGATGACCCCCTGAGAAGCTGGACTTTTTCTGAACATGAAGTGGTGCCAGAATTTCTTGGCTTCTTCCCGAACAGGAGATTTCTCCATTTTCATACCATCCGCTGGCTGGGTGAGAGCCTGGGTCCCAGGTGGGACGTGCTCACTATCGGAGTCCTTGGATGTGTGTAGCTCTTCCTCAGTCTTCTTCCAGAACCTTCCAAACCTGGACAGCATCCTCTCTCTCTGCCTCTGGCTGTCCCCTGCCAGGCCAGCACCTATTAGATGTGGCACCGCCACAAAGAGATCTGGCTTCTCCTCACCTTCCTCGTGGTTGCCCAAAGGGAGTTCTCTCCGGTTCCTGTCTAGGAGCACAAGGGAAAGAGAACGCTGACCCTTGCCACCAACCCTGTGCCACCCAGCTTTTCCCAGAGGCAGGAGCAACAAGAGCTGAAGCAAGAGGCTGTACATGCTGTTGGGAGCTGCTTTCAGATCTGCAGACGGCAAGGCCTCAAGGAGAGGCTGGCTTTCCGTGGGACTGTGAACAGGAATCCTATATAGAGACACCTGCCTGCTGGGATGGGAAGGCGGTGGTCAGTAGCCAGGCAGAGCAAACACATTTACTGTTTGCTTGAATTATGTAGTGCTAATGGGGTCCAGCCTCCCCTTTGATTTATTTAAAAGTCCCCAGTGAAAGCCTGGGGCCCAGGGGGTAATTAGCTGACACTTTAACTATTGTCTGAGATTTAAAGAGCAGCATTAGGAAAAACAACACATTCTTTGCCTAGATTTCCCATCAGTGGTGTTGGGAGAAGGATTAGAGTTAGCTAACTTTTGTTGTTCATCTGCGTGGCTCTGGGATGGAATAGAAAGCAAGATTTATTTTTATGAGAGAGGTATCTCAGATAAAATGGCACTTAGCAAAAGCCCAGGCCTTTAGAAAGGCTCTTCTCTCTCTCTCTCCTTCTCCCTCTCCCTCTCCCCGACTCCCCTGAAAGAAATATATCAACATTATAAGAAAAGGAAAGGAAGAGAGAGAAGGATGTTGACTTTGTTGAGTAGAGAACTTACTATCTCTTATTTACACACAAATTGGGGTTGTTGATTTTTGTATGGTAATTGAGTAAAAATACATTCTCTTTTCCACACCTGGGAACTCACAATTCCCAAGTTAATCCTCTCACATTAAGAATCAATTACCGAGTGCTAAATTTCACAACTGGTCAGTCATCAGATAAGCTCTTCCAATTGCTCACATATTTCTCTACAGGAGCTTAAGTAGCCTGACAGCTCATCAATCCTTAGTGAGGTCGGGGAAATGTCTCCCTGAAGCCACCCTGTTGATTTTTTCTTTCTTTAAACAGAAAGCCAGACTTGAGAACTGTGGATTCTAAGAATCAGGTTTGATAGTTTGGGTCATGAAGCTGACCACCAAGTTTCTTACTTTACTGAATCCACATCATCTTCCCTTGTTCTATGGTAATTGATGCCCAGGTTAAGTGAAGATTGAGACAAACATGAGTTTTCAGGGATCAGAGGACATTCTTTAAAATGACTATCATTCCAAACTACCATAAACCAGTCAAGAGCATGAGAAAGAAATATGTTCACAAAATTATGGCCCAGAGTCATGTCTAATCACTCTGCCACACAATTGAAACCGTATGTCCCCTGGGAATCAATGCAGGACTTACTTACCTTTCTTCCCTTCTAATTTCATCACCACAGTCCTTGCTTTTAGTAACACAAATAATCCCAGTGTGTGCCCCCCTTTTTTTTAGTACTGGTTAAGCTTTCTTTCCAAGAAATGACCCACTGGAACCATTTTCCAGTCATTTTATGCTCTTGTGGATAGCCAGACCTGATTTTTGTGAAATAAAGCCTCAAGTAAGTACCTTTACCTATGATAATGATTTATTTTAAAATAGACCATTTTGTCAGAATTCTATAAGAAGAGATATATTTCACTCATACCAAATAGCCATGAAAACTGTGCTGGTATTAATTTAAATTACTGATGATAGATACTCAATGAGCATTTGTATTTGCTATTATTTTTAAAACAACTGTGTTTTTTAGTTAGTTGTTATTTAAGTTTTTTAATGCCACCCAGTGTAATATGCTTTCCAGAGCCAGTCACTAGGCCTCCCATCACAGAAATGGTGTGGCCAGTGGCCGGGTGCAGTGGCTCATGCCTAATCCTAGCACTCTGGCAGGTTGAGGTGGAGGTATTGCTGGAGTTCAGGAGTTGAAGACCAGCCTGAACAAGAGTGAGACCCCCATCTCTACTACAATAGAAAAATTAGCTGGGCATTGTGGTGGGTGCCTATAGTCCCAGCTACTTGGGAGGCTGAGGCAAGGGCATCCCTTGACCCCAGGAGTTTGAGGTTGCTGTGAGTTATGATGTCACAGAACTTTACCCAGGGGGACAGAGTGAGACTCTGTCACACACACACAAATGGTGTGGCCAGCTATGCATTTCCTGATTCCTTTTAAGCTTTACTTTTCAGTAATTGAAATTCCAGCATTATCAATCACAGCATCCAGCATTTCCCCAAACTGAAGACTACCCCAGAGATTCCATCTGGGGTCTCAGGTGCTTGGCTCTGAAATTACTTAACATAGAATACAGTTGAAATAATTTCCGTTGGATCAGGAATTTCAGAAGGTTCACAAGGGCCAAGAATCACGTAAGACAATGGGAGATGATTGAAGATGATTAAAACTTAGACTCTGCCTTCAGGCAGGTCCGATAGTCTAGTGGTATTATACACTCTTTAGTTTTATTGTATCATCTGTAGGAGGTGATGGTTATCCATTTTTAACTTTGCTTTAGTCCTAAACTTCCTTTCCTCTGATCCTAATTTTGGTGCTTATAAATGCCACTTAGAAATCACTCATGAAAAATTTCCTTTTATTTTTTGTCATTTCTATTAAGAAAAAATATGCAAATACCCTGAGAAGTAAATCTAGTAGTAAATCCACCCCCCAAAGTCAATTATCTATGGTGGGAACTATGGGACATGAGCCCATCTCTAAACCTTGTCTTTTATAGCTAAGGGCAGACGAATTTCACTTTTCACCTTTCACTACTGTGTCCTTTCAATTCTCAAGCCATGTATGTGCCAATAATTGGCCTATCTATTTACCATATTAAGCAACTATATTTAGCAAAAATATACTACCTCTGTTGGTCTTCAGCTGATACAGATGTGGTTACCTCCTAATCTGGATGAAGCAAATGGAGGCAGGTCTAGAGGAGACACAGACAGGAAGCTATTGTGTGCAGAGAGCCTCCCCAGTTGGTGGTGTGCTCAGTACCAAACAGGACAGTGAGAGACAGGCCTGAGCTTACTTACCTGAGTGAGGCTGGGCCTGCCAAGTCTGCTTCCTGGGCCAACCTCAGGCACACCTGGGAGCTAGGGGGGCCAATAGTTCATTCATTTCAATTTACAGCTCATGCTGAGCATGAGCTGACTCAGTTTTCAACTTGACCTGTTTTTCTTAGGCACTAAGATGTCTTTAGAAACCCTAAAGGGCTTTATGAAGATACCTAAATAAAATGTGTTTCCATATGCTAGAGACACTTTCACAAAATAGGCAAGAAAACAGGGCCCAGCAACTCACATGTTGAGGTCGTGAGTCTGGATGCCTTTTCTGAGCTCCCAAGTGTGCCTGTGAGAGGCCAGAAACAGCGACATTTTCTATTCCTCTTCTAGACTCTTAGAGGAGAGGTAAAAAGAGGGCTAGTGCTCTCTGAGGGAAACAGAGGGGCCAAGTTCTTTCCTGAAAACCCCAGTCTTAATAAAGGGAGAGAGGCAGTGTTGAGGTAAGGGCTGGGCATTAGAGTTAAACAGGGCAACTGACAGCTGCAAAAGGGAATTTGGGCGGATGGGTCTGTGGGAGTAGGCCACTACCTCATGCTACCTCTGTTTTTAAAATAGAGAGTGCCAACAGTGTCAAGGGAATTTAGATTATTTTAAAAACTCAAAAGACTCTGGGAGGCCAAGGCAGGTGAATCACCAGAGCTCAGAAGACCCAGATCAGCAGGAATGTGACTCCATCACTACTAAAAATAGAAGAAAAAAAACTGGGTCTGCTTGCTAGTTGTGAGCACCAGTAGTCCCAGCTACTCAGGAGGCTGAGGTAAGAGGATCGCTTGAGCCCAAGAGTTTGAGATTGGTGTAAGCTATGACACCACAGCACTCTACCCAGGGTGACAGAGTGAGACTCTGTCTCAAAAATAAAAATAAATAAAAAATAAAAATTCAAAAAAAAGACAGAATCTTTTTTTTTTCTTGTTTTCCAAAAGACAAGGAAAAGGATAAACTAGGATAAGTGGTATCCTTTCGAACATTTTCATCCATAACTTAGTTTAGTAACTGATTCAAAACATAGAACTCTACCCGTAGTGCTGCCCCCAGCCCAGCCCCCTGATTCCATGTTAAGGGTATGTGAGGACGAGCTCATTGCCCCCTGCTGTCCACGTCCTAGACTCATTCATTCTCTTATAGGGCAAGCACGCAAATGCCACATCTGTGCTAGGGCTGGGGATAAATGGCGATGGTGTCTTTGTCCAGGTCTAGTAGATTTAGAGTTTAGTTAATTCAGAACAAATTTTACAAGGAAAATATAGGCAGATACCAGTCTTGTACTAATCAGGGGTTTTCAGAAAAATACAAATCCCAAAGACAAAGTGGACTGTGTGCTACATTTGTGTTAATTTTATTCAGAAAACATTTGTTGAATGAAAGGACGTGCAATAGACAATGTGCAAAAATTTTCTCTTATTTTTGAGTAGGTAATAAATACACTAACACCAAAATCCAATAACACAGAAAATTGCACACTGAAAGGAAGGTCTTCTGACCCCACCTTGCCAAGGAGGCAACTGTTACTAGTGTCTTTATTCAGTCTTTTTTAACTGTCACCGAAACAGACCGAAATGTGTAACCAATAGAGAAGGACACGCAGGCTACAAAAAGTCCCCATTTCTACTTCTAAGCACTGATGACTAAACTGTCTTGTAAAGATTTGATTTTTCTGTCTGTCATTTCAGTGATCTTTGATCTCAAACAGCTCCCACACCATTGAGAAGTATTTTTTTATTTTTGCAACTGGGGGTATATCTGTTACTGTGCACAAGTCATGAACAACACCTAAATGTAGCAACGTCCAGTCTGCTACTCGCCCGGTGTGCAGAGAAGACTCCCAGAAATCCGAGAAGCGGTGGAGGCAGCGTGAGCTGGGCTTCCCCAGGTGCCTCACGTTCCCACCTGCCCAGCCAGCCCCGACCGCCCAGGCCTCTGATGCAGCCAGGGCGGGATGCTTTCACTCCCTTGCCTCATGCTCCTTCTTCTTCATCTTTAACATTTACCTTAACTGGTCTTCATTCTGCCCAAAGCTCAGTTGCTCCTACAGCACCTGTTCTCTGCTCCATCCCTGTCCTTGGTACCTTTCTGTGTGAACAT